ATATATATATGTAATACACTACTCATAATGTTGCTGAAAATCCGTCGACTGCCTACGACCATGAGGCGGCCTGGTGCAGCACATTCAGTTGCCTGGAAACATCAAAAAACGAGAGATTCAGCTGGGTTCCCGGTGAGTCTCTCGCAAAACCAACTTAGTTTGCAAATGAGTGTAGTTCTCGTATTTCGTGCAATTTGGTTTCAAGTAGAACGTAAGGTTGACGAAAAACCCGGGGACTGCGCCTACCTGATGAGCCCCAATAAGGGCGAAACCGGTCGTGGACTGTTGACGAATTTTCAGCAACCTTATGAGTAGTGCATTAGAAACGAACATCTTCATTCTTATGACCGATTTCCCTAGCTGAAATTTCTTTTCAATGAAAATCGCATACTTTGACACACCTGAAGGTGTGTCGATATTTGACTAATTTGATTGGTTGATTAGTTGAGCGAATCAGCCGAGAAATCAAGGTCAGTCCTCACTTGTATCATTCTGCCTCATTCTGCTTCTACGTGTTCTATTCTACAGACTAATCAACCAAACCCTTCAGCGAAGGAGGAAGTTCGATTTCCTATCAGAATTGTGGACGTCTCTCAAATCCAACTCGCGTCCGTTCATCGCTCTTTCAGCATCAGCTAGCGCTTACGACCTGTAATCGCTCATGCTACATGGGAACGTGATGCTAGTTGAATACAAGAATCATTTCACTGAGGATCAATTCGATTCGTACAACATAAAAAATCGTTTCAAGCATAGACATTCTAATCACCGAAAATGAGACCTTCGGCTAAAGTAAAGTACTAATAATAGACTTCACAAGCTTCAGCGAAAAAGAGGGAATCGGTTTTCGAAAAAGTTTGGTGACAATCGGTAGATTTATTGCTGGGTAACGTTTCGCTTTTGACACAAAAGCTTCGTCAGGTCAAGTGGCCAGGTTCCGAGGTTGGTCGAGATTTAAGGCGGAAGGAGAACCAATCAGCCAAGTCAAGTTAAATCGCTGTTGGGTGTCGGCCGAGGGATTTTAGTGTGTTAGAGTGGTTGAACAAGTGTTGGGTCGGTGGGGAAACCTACATGTGTTTGGGTCCTGCCTAGGGTCTAGTTCTTAACAGTTACCAAATAAAACCTTCATGAGAATCCAATGAAAGGTTGGCTTACGCAGATGAATGATCACGATGGAACTTCTGTTAATAACGGGTTAGCCGACCAAAAACGCAGACGGATAAAGAGCTTACAGAGGAGAAAAACGACTTTGAAAGTTGGCATTTTTTGAGTCTGTGAAGTGATAAATGCGTAAGAATGGCACTTTATTTATTTACTGTAACAAGTTGAATGATAGGAATGTCAAAGACATACAAGTACACGCGATAGGCGAAGACCAATAAGAAAACCGTATCTCTTTCTAAATGAAATGAACTCTCTAAACTCTAAACTCTCTCTCTACTGGAGACGCAGTACACTACTCATAAGGTTGCTGAAAATTCTCCGACAGCCCACGACCGGTTCCGCGCTTCTTAAGGCTCGTTAGGTAAGTGCAGTCCACGAGATTCCGTCAACCTTATGTTCCACTTGAACCCAAATTGCACTGCATTAGCTAAATACACCCATTTGCAAACAAATTTTTGGTTTTTCGAGATACTCACCTGAACCTCACCGGCTGAATCTGTTGTTTTTGTAATGTTATTCCTCAAACGCATGTTCTGCCCCGAGGGCGACCTAGCACGATATTCGTCAAATCACAATACACTGTATTGATATAATGTGTTAGTCATAAGGATATTAGTAATCATTCATTAGCCCGAGACCGGTTCCGCCTTTCTCAGACCTCAGCAAGTGGACACAGTCCACGAGTTACGCTCAACCTTATATTCCACTTGAACGCAAATTGCAGGAAACTTGACAAATACATTTATTTTCACAAGTATGTGTTTTCGCGTGAGACTCACCTAAAATCCAGCTGAGGCTCTCGTTTATTTTAGTGATCTTCAGCTGGAGTTCCGGACACGCCAAATTGGCGTGCGAATGCATCAAACTGTCAAATTTTGTTCAATCCGGACTCAAGTAAAACAAAAGGTTGAGGGAAACTCGAGGACTTCGCCTAACTGATGGGCCTCAAGAGGGAGAAAACCGGTCGTAGGCTGTCTAAACGTTTTCATCAAAAGGTGGTAACACCGCGACTAACCGCGGCGAATCCGAGGTGCATATTAGCCTTTCAACCGTCGTTCATCACGTGAATACACCTCCTATCAACCACTTTCTGTCAATACCACGTGATCGTTTCATTTCCCCTCTCAAGCCAGCCCCGGGAATATCCCATGAAAACCTCAATAATATTGTTCGATTCGTTTTATCATAACACAGATGAATATGGAGAGGGGAGCAGAATTTTTGAAAGCACGAGGGAAATCCTCAAGCTGGGACCTTTCACAGTTCCTCATGATTGTCCAATACAGTGCCGTAGTTGGTAGCCTGACTGCTTACAAATAGATCTTGCTTGTCCAGGATTTCTTCCGGAGTGAGGACGTCATCCTAGAAGTAAGGGGGAAAGCAGGCAAGTTGCAGATTAGGTAAGGTGTTAGAAGACAAACGTATCATCTAAATTTGATTTTGCGGTTCTGATTGTTTGCGGGGCCTTTGTATTGTTCGCCGTCACTCTCATTTGAACAGCCGTTCGCCTATCCTGAAGGAATTATTCAGGTGATTTCACACAGAAAGGTGAAAGTGCTGGACTCATCAGCCCGTGCCGGGGATTGAACTCCGGACATGGGATGCGAGAGTGTCACCACCACTCCACCAGCGCACGCTGGACTCACCTGAATTTTTACTTTCGAACAGATGAGCATGTTCACGCTTGAGAGATGTTATCGGTATACCTGACTGCTCGAACGGCGACTTAGTTACTGTCCTAGTTTTGACGATCGATTGATCCGCTTGTCACGAATTCCCAATCAGGTAGCGTTTGAAGAGTCCTCCTTATACCTTAACGCTATCATCCAGATGAGGGAATACTGTATTTGAGTTTCGTCCCTATTGGAGCTCACCAGAAATTCACACCCTTGTCTGAGCGGAGGCTCGACCCCTGGAAAGTCAAACATGTGGTGTGAGTTGAATGCAACTGATTTATGGTGACTGAACGGGCGAACTTGTTCACTTTGAGCGATACGACTGACCCAGTGAGGGTCTTGTTGATATCGATCCCCGGACCCCCTGTCAGTGCATCCCAGTCAGGCAGCATCATCGCTCTCTGAAAGTTGACCGACAGTTTTTTGTTTCAGATTGATAATCGGTCAACAGAATTTGCATTCCAGCAAAATGGAAGAAGCTAGTTCTACCGTTCAGGCGTGAAAACCTTTGACAGTTCAGATGTGATAAATCGGCGAAGACGGACACGCGGTTGGGACAGTGGTAAGAGTTGGCCTCATATGTCACAGGTACCCCTGTTTCAAACTCCAGCACGATCAAGGATATGCACTGCTGATGAGCGACAGTGGGGTGCTTCTTCCCTTTGAATTGGACTCAGCAAAGTGATTTCCCCAGAACAGGAGTAGGACTGTCCAGATAAGAGCTTTGTAGATGAGAATTTATCCTTCAACCCCTCTACTAGTGAATGAATGCATCATCTTGTTTCTTGCTTGAAGTAAGTAAAAATTGCGGCAGTTCTGACTTCATCCAGGAAACATGAGGAATGAGATCTGGAATAAGATCTGTCGATACAAACTGTTGACAAAAACGTGAGTGCACAAAGTAGGGTTGATTGCCATTTCGGAGGGGCCAAAAACGTGAGTGCACAAAGTAGGGTTGATGTCAAGACTATTTGTTGATTGCCATTTCGGAGGGGCGTGGCGCTCATCATGCGGTTTTTTCGCAAGGCTCCGGTTAAGGTACGACCGCGGAGTCACTTTACACGTTCAACTGATCTCCTCATGTACTAGTTTATCACGCTTGGATGGGTCTGGTAGTGACAAGAACAACTTGGTCGATCTCACTTCCCCCTAAAATCCACAACGATCTCTGCAATCAATTTTTTATGTCAGTCAGCACTTTGGTCAGTCGCCGAGCTCACAAAAGGGGTTGGAAGAAAGACTCACTTATACTAAGATCAATCAAGGAAAGCATGACCGATTTTCAACTCGGGGACAAGCTTATCCTTCTACATGATGTACTCTTATCACTAAGTGGACGAGTTTCATTCCCGACTGAATCGTTAAGCTGTAGCACCCTTTCGATACCTAACTGCCATGCCACTCGAAGGTTGCACGAGGGCTGGGAGGCCGCCCAAGCGTAGACTGGGGAAGTCGCGAGGCAGAGGTCGGGTTCGAACCACGGACCTTCCGGTCAGTAAATTCGCACTCTAACCACTTTGGCCATCTTGCCCCATTCCCGATTGAACTCCAGTGTTAAATACACATTGATCTTAGTGTCACTGACCATCATCGTCGTCAATAAATAAACCTGAATGGAGTTTCAAGGTCACCAAGGGCTGCGTTAGGCAGATGACAAGTCTACCACGCTAAGTAAAAGTTTGAGTTTCCATGAGTTTCAGATGAAGACCGTTAGATGGGTGGCCAGCGAGCAGTTGAATAGAAAAGATCTCCATCTGGCTGGCGAAACAGAAGCGCTGAATTCGGAGATCAAGCAGTAAGGTACATTGCGTCATAGAAGAGATATTAAGCTGAGTTATCAGTCAGCTGAAAGTGCCTATCTCCCTATATCTGGAACAGTTCAATCGTATTCATGTGTTCCAGGTTTAAACTGACGTGAAAACCCTTTCAGATTCCTACAGACGCAAGTAACCGACTCAAGGCAAATCAGTACAGTAACAAACACATAAAGGAGTACGGTTACCTTGTCAACGTCTGCATGATAGAATAAATGTTGCGTTTCCGCCTCGACTGGATCGTAACCAGTTGGCATCACCCATTCACCAACTTCAGTGCGATCCATGAAACCGTTGTGGTCGATATCCCGGTGTTTCTGATATTGATCCCGCTCTCTTGCCACCCAGTCCGGTTCCGGCTCCCCATCAACCAATGGGGTCTGGTAAGCCCGAGCAAGATCATCTGAAACGACGGGCATCGTGATCAAGCACCTTTAAATGCGCATGTCTAAATTTAATCTTTAAATTCTAACTACTTTTACCTTCCAAGTAGCAAGGAAAATCAAATTTTACAAGCATCTAAGTACAATTCCTGCAAAAGGGTGGATAATTCCGCCGAACTTGGTTTGAAACCATTACAAAAACATCTGCTGTCACCGTGTTTCATTTAAAACAGTAAAAGTGAGTATGACAGTCTTGTGGCTTTATTTGCTGCACAGAGGACCTAAACGCACTGAAACGAATTCACTCAAGGCACAAGAGTTAATTAGCACAGCTTTTGTGCTTAGAAGTTTTGGGGTCGGTTAGACAGGGGAGATGTTTGAACGACTCAGATTAAACTAAACTTCTCACAGCCCGCACGAAAAGTCAAGAATGCAATACTTCTTCTGTTGAATTGCCCTCAATGACGAAATCTACTCCAGTAAACAGAACACAATAGCCTGTCAGAAATTACATGGGTTGACGGCTAATTAGTTGCCAATTTCACGACAGTACTCTCAGCGAAGAAGACTCGCGCTGTTTCATTGCCGGAATTACCCACTATGATCTTCTAAAACGTAGAGAAACCGAATGGAAGGACTAATTAGCCGTCATGATGTTTCGTAGAAGAGCTATTGATGTACTAATTTGCCAAAAGAGTGAGTTTTGTGATTGGATTTGGTGAGTCTAGACTAGAACTCTGTGCGTCATTTCTACAATGGAACGCTTAAAATTTACCAAGATATTCTTTTTCGGAAACCTGTCCATTTCGGTCGGTATCAACCGCTTCCAAGAGTTCCTGGAAAAAAGAACACAAGAGCGGTCTTCAAGTGCACATATTTAAAGAAAGACAGGGCGTAATGCACTACTCATTAGGCTGCTGAAAATTCCTCGACAGCCTACGAATATCGTAGCAACCGAAACATGAGGTCGCCTGGTGCAGCACATTCAGTTGCCTTGAAACATCACAAACGAGAGATTTACGGGAGTTGTTGGTGGGGTCCAGTGAACTCCCGCCGTCAAACCAAATTTCTATGCAAATGAGCGTATTTCGCTAGAGGACGCCTTGATGCTTGAAAACATAATGCTTTCTGATAGGGTAATCTATTCCACAAATTCAGGACTCAAGATTATGTTTTTCAATTGGATTTATTTATTCGAATGTCATGTTTCCCATTTATTGATTGCACACATCTCCGATCAACATGGCACCCCGGTACTTGCTTGCTGAGCATCGATCGGTGCCGCCCAACGTTTTGATATTTTACTCACTACTGCTTCCCAATGAAGTAGTGTAATATTAGGACAGTTGATATAATAACCAAAAGCCCTAAGGCGTAAGCCGAATTACTCCAGCCGTTGATCAGGTGACAGTTGTTCTCAACATCACCAGGAGATATATCCAGCTGAATACTGAAGACACCCTGTACTATAGACACTAAAAATTTGAAAGCCAACCTCTAAGCTCAGCAAAGATTCAACTGCTGCCTGATCAAAAGCTAATTAAAGTACCAGACATTCCTAGACTGATTCTCAGCTTCCCAAATTACTAATAAATAGTTTGAACCATGTAGCTCGTTGCGTTTCAAAGTTGGAAACTGTGCAAGCCAATCCGCTACCTCATAGCAAAATAGTGAACAGAGAATGTGTTAGGCGAGATGTATGGATCCGCATTCTTGAGATTTGGGGCAGTTTTACCACGCCTTCTGAATCTGGAGATATGAAACCTTTAGTTTGATCTGTTGTTTGCCTCAGTCACGGAGTCCCCAATGTGCGGCTGAGTGATGCGCTGTTGCAAACAATATCTCCCCCGATATTTAAACGTCAAAGGACTCCAACGTGACCGTGTATCGTGCTGTTTTTGACCATAGCAATCTTCCATATAATAATATCTGTAATCAGTAAGCTCACAGTTGATCCCACCAGCTTCCGCGTACAGCACACTGATTTATGCCTCAAACTGACTAGGTAAGCCTCGGAAGAGGCCAAGAAAATATTGGTGTTCAATAAGTCCACATACAACGGTTGGTTACGAGTGGTAAACTTAACCTGGATGGCTCAGATGTTCTCAGTGCTTGATATACAAGTTGCCTTGGTTCTTACAGAGTCAAGGTTTACACCGAACTTACGTCAATCACAGCATCACGCATGTGTGCCTTGTCTTCCGGATTGAGGAAGTCGGCAAACTCATCTTTCGTGAGCGCGTTGTCCTTGTCCAAATCCGCGGCATCCCAACGTCGTTTGTCTTGCTTTACCACCCTTCTATACGCATCTGCAGTCTCCACGTCTTTCAAACGATCTGCAATTCGGGAAACGAAGTTAGCAGTATTGTCATTTCAGTGCATTCAAAAACGCAGAGATCATTTATTCCCAGGGACTCAGTCTGTGCCAAAAGCCTAGAAACACTGTACAGCCGTTCCATCCTTACTGGGAATCCTCAGCAGGGCGCATCTCACGAAACTCCACTAGGGAGATTCCAGGTTCGTGGGACACTGACCGTGTGTGTGTGTGTGTGTGTGTGTGTGTGTGCATCACTGCACCGACGCTACCACCCATGTTTGTACTCAGTCTGCTCGACCAATCCTGAACTTTCCTGCAGTAGTATCCATAGTGGTCACATGATCAATCAGAATCACAGCATTCATCTCGAAAGGGATGACCGCAGTTCAAACCGCCGGACAACCCTTTCGCTTACCATCATCTGGTGAGTACTTTGACGCTGCGAAATTGCTGATGCCACAAATGTGAACATTTAGGTTTTATTGTATATTTTCGCTTACTTACGTAATTGTTATATCTGACTGATGTTCCCATTCCAATGTCTGGTGCCGGGAAAAGACTCGCCGATAAGAAATACAACAGCTGTATTGCGGACAAGCGATTGAGAGTGCGGGATTGCGACAATACAACGGCCTCAAGCTATTTTATTGTAAAAAGACCGTCTGATCTTGGTCCAACACGGTCTGGCTTTGATACAAGGCTGTCACGCGCCGCATACCAAAGGGGCTTGTCTGTCTGGTGAGCATCCAGCAGAGTTGAGGGTCTCAGTAGATTTCAAGCATTCAGTGGGCACTTCCAGGAATCTAGCCCTTCTGAGTATAGCACCCCAGACTTTTGAATTCTATTCTTTCTCTTGATATCTGGAACCTTCAAACCTAAGGATGCCTCAGACATCGGAAGCCGAACAACAGAGACTTCTACTTTCAGCTTTACAACAGGACTTTTGTAAAAACACACCCCGTCTGGTGCACCAAGTTCGGGTGCAATACTAACACCTTTGAAACTGAAGTTCAAATCAGGGGATATAAGCCTGGAGACCTTCCACAGGGTGGGAATAGATTCGGCACCAAGAAACAAAAGGAACATCATTCAATCGTCTACTTTGACCTTGTGTGCACGTGGTCAAACCTTAAAGAGCCACTATCAATGTGATTGGGTAGAGCGGAAAGGCATCTGTCCAATCACTATTCAGTATGACCACTAATGTACGTAAAACCTCACTCATGAACCAAAAGGTTAGTGCTACTAATTGGTATTTTGTTAGAATTATCAGGCGTCGCACCTTGGGGCCACTTTTGAGTTGAGTGGAATCCTCAAACCAAACATGTGTCCAAAAATAGATCGTTTTAGATCTAACAGCTTGGGAAGGTAGAACGCATGAATGTACTACGCAGTTCACACCCGTATCTCTCATACTCCTACGAATGTGACCTACTTGATAGTGCTGACTCCAATTAACTTTGATTATGCATTCAGGACCTGAAAAGAATTTACGAAATTTGAAACAAAAAGAGCATCGTTGTCCAGGTGACACCTAAGTAGAGTCCCCCTGATTGGAGGTAGGTTTCCAAACGAAATTGCTTTGACTTATGCAGATCCCACAACCACCTGAAACCGATCGATAAAATTTACCGAATCGTAGAGAAATAACCGATATCTACATTGTGAGATTCCGCGCGGAACTTTTGTCCACCGGCATGATATGTGCGAACCTGATCGCGATGAATACAGATGCGGATACCGTGGCACAAACGTTCACAAAAAGTTTACAACAATTAAAGCGTACGATCCCGTGCTTTTCAGAACCTGCCATAGCAACAACCTCAGTTACCTATGATTTTACAGCATCTGCAGTGTGTTCTCGATTATGCCAACTCTGCTGTTTGTTATACGCTTCAGAATGGAATAAGACATACCACCAAAAGTCAACACAAACGAACCACTAAAGGTATTCTACTCAGGATCAATTGGGGTTAATGGAAAGTTGGCTGCAGATAGTGTTATCGTGCACATCTGTCGATCAGTATCCAATGATCAACTCAACTCAATTCGCATGCTATTGAAACTAAAGGACCGGCCGATAACTGAAGAGACGGCGATGATTACTTATCTTTGTCCAATTAGCAGGCGGTTATATGCGCATACGCGTACTTTTTGGGACAAAACGTCGATCATCATCAGCATCATCATCATCATTGTCAGCTGTGATAAGAGCGTACTTGCCGTACGGTGGTTGTAGCTGCCACAGTTTCGTTCACAGATGATTCTGGGAGGTGGGGTAGGTAGCCGCGCATTGGAGGCGAGAGCTGATAAATTAGGAGGAAATACAGCACAGTAGGTGGGCTGTTAAGTGGGGGTAATTGTGAAGGGAACTATGCATTGAAGGCAATGGCCATTGAGGGCGCGACCATGTCTACCGGCCGATAACTGAAGAGACGGCGATGATTACTTATCTTTGTCCAATTAGCAGGCGGTTATATGCGCATACGCGTACTTTTTGGGACAAAGCGTATAACTAGTCATTATCATCATTATCACTGTCAACTGTAAGAACCACGTACTTGCCGTACGGTGGTTGTAGCTGCCACAGTTTCGTTCACAGATGATTCTGGGAGGTGGGGTAGGTAGCCGCGCATTGGAGGCGAGAGCTGATAAATTAGGAGGAAATTCAGCACAGTAGGTGGGCTGTTAAGTGGGGGTAATTGTGAAGGGAACTATGCATTGAAGGCAATGGCCATTGAGGGCGCGACTGGACCATGTCTGACAATGTCTCCAGCCATTGATGTGGCCCTTCTCGGGGTCCCCATCCAAGAAGACGGCGGTGACCAGCGCAGCTGAGCTTGCTGGTAATGGCTTTCACACTTCACTGCCAGGTCAATGTTTGACCTCCTCTGGCTCATTTCCACTCTTCAGGTGCAAAAATGAACTCTTCGAGGAAATCGGTCGACTGGCATACACAGCACGTGTCCAGCGCAACCGTATTCTAGTACTGATAGTTAATCAGTTGGCAGTTGTGCTGATACACTTTTTGCAAAAATTAGTTCATATCCGCTTCGGGAATTTGTGGCAGTTGATTTGATTGTTCTTTTTAGAATCTGTGTTGCTTTGTGCTTTGGTTATCCTTCTTCTGATTGCTTCGTATTACACTGTGAGTAGTGGTCACCAAGTGACATTTTTGAGCGAAAATCTGACCTGAGTGAGTTCGTATACGGCATATATTCTCTGAATGCACCTCAAATCGTTAAACCGCTCTTTTGAAGCATCCACCTGTTTATACGTGGTGAACTCAATGCTGACCACAAGATTTCAGCATAACTGTTGATAGTTCTTTGACTCATAACCTTTATTTGTTTGTTTGTTTTTTTCATTTACCTATTGTGAGGACGATGTGGAAGCTACTTTGGAAGAGTTAGGTAGCGCAAGTTCCAAAACCGAAAGATTCTCGAATGTAAGGACAAAGCAAACCCTGCGGCGAATCTAGTGAAAGTTTTGGTCTCTTGTCAAAATTGACTGGAAAACAACACAAGTTTGAAAACATTGCCAGTATACTACAGGCTTTAAAGAACTTTTTGGACTGTGGCACATCAGTACAAATGTTCGGGTTGAATAGAACGCACCGGTCTTTAGTTGTAGATGCCTACGAGCAATCTGAACCAGGATAGCTGGGTGTCTTTCACATCCAGCGACATCGCAGTGCTTCGGAGCGTAGCGTTCTTCAAGGAGATGAAGACGCTTGAAATGTTCTGTAGGTTTGATGCTTGGGGTCGCAGCGATGCGTGTTTTTTAAGGATTCTGCGATAAACCTGTGAGTTCAGTGAATAGGTGAATTCTCGTGATCTGTCTAAGAACGCACGCGTACCGGCGGAGACCCGAGCGGTTATCGAAAATCAACCTAGCCTATCACTCGTCTCCTTACACAGTGGAATTTCCCCGTTCATCTGGTTCGAATCTCAGCCTCGCAGTTTGTCGCGATGCTATTAGCCAGAATCAGCTGACGGACGCACAAACAAGTGCGTGGGGTTCTTTTCCACTTGCCCACTGATGTGTGCACGCCCGTGTGTGTGTGCGCGCATCTAATGGGCAAGCCGTCGGGAGATGGGGAAGCAGGGCACACGCTGCACACCGATCGATAGCAGATTGCATACGTGGCACACAAAAGTGCCACGTGGAAATGTCGGTCACCATTTACAGTGTCCACGTCAGCAATGGACGGAAATCAACGTGGCCATGCGTTCACACTTTCAAGTATTGATCAATTCATACCCAGACGGCGTTTAGCTGGTGATGATTATCAACTGAACCGATTAAGGAATCAGTCACGTTATTTGTCATCGAATTATAGCCGGTTTTCATACACAGATTCACAAGCGCTCTTAGTTAACTTTCCACGAAAGCGGATAAATATTCTGGATGCTATCGTATTGACGTTTGTTCGGCCAGCACCCGACTTCCCGTGGATGGATGAATGATCATATGTTCTTAACGTCTCAAATCATTTCAAGAAGCACCTAAGTTGAAGATGTGTTTGCTCTGCACTTAGTTAAGGACCGTTTGAAATTTCAGACGTTTCGGTAGGCCGCTGAAGGCAGCCTAGTGATACCAATTATCTGTGAGTAGCTCAGAAGAGGAATAACTTCACGAAATGAGTGAATCATTCATCTGAGAAGTCATCACTCGAGGAGCATGTGAGTGGTGATCAGAGATGATATGTCATACCCCTTTGAGAACTGATCACTCTGCTGATTGGCTGTTTATAGTCGGACGATTAACGGGAAGTGGTGTGCTCGGAACTCTCCTGGATTTCGTGAGACTCGCACTGATGATCACTCCGAATAAGGACTAATCGGCTATGCACTAATTCTAGGTTTGCTGGCCTAATTTAACGACGATGATTAAAACATTATCAATCTGAAGCAAAATGGAATGAACACCGTTGTAAATAAGTGGTTTTTTATGAAAAGTTACATCAAGAATTATTCCCACTCTTTCTTACTCTGACGTGTTCGATCCCGAACGAAGTCACATTCAGGTCATGTTGAATCTCTCCCTTTATTTTCTATTTGGTTACATGCTAATTCAAGACACGATCAGGGTCACTACTCCGCAAAATTTATTGAAGTACGAAAGACCACCGATTTAACAAACCTTGGAAGGACATTCTCCTGTTATTTTGTGAGACTAAAAAAGGGGTGCTAGCCGATGTCACTTGCAGCATCTAATAAGTCCATGTTCTGTGTACCACTCAGAAGCTATTCCGTCGGTCCGCTTTATGAGTTGGGACAAACGAATTTTTTCTGGCACACTGATGCCAACGTATGAACTGCTAAACAGTACGTACCTAATGCGATAATAAAAGTCCAAAAGCACAAAATTGTCATATATGTATAAATCGCTCAGCTGTAACACCCTTTCGGTGCCTAGCTGCCATGCTACCCGAAGGAAGCACGAGGGCTGGGATACTGCCAGATTGCCCAGGCTTAGACAGAGGAAGTCGAGAGGCACAGGGGGGAGGGTTCGAACCACGGACCTTCTAGTCAGTAAATTCACGCTCTAACCACTTGAGCCATCTCGCCCAAGTAACTCTCACGCAAGAATAGAGCACCATAGTGACCGCTTTTGCATCGATGAAGAATTACCAGAAACCATTCATGTCAAATCGGCTGTTGTTACGTTATTTATCGATTATCATATTAGTTCGCTTTCGTGATGACTTGATCCTGATAATTACGTGGCAACGCTGCCTTACCTATCCGTTGAAAAACTGGCTGTTCGGCTGTCCCCATTCTAGGGATCGCATCTACTTCGCGTTTAAAATCACCCAGATGGCAGATCACTGACGAAGAAACTGTGAGGTAGGTCTTCATCGAAACTGCGCCCCGAACGAAAAACACCTGAACGATTCTTTTTCCCCGTGAGACATGAATCCACAATATTTAGGAAGTCACCTTTAACCAGATGGTGCAAGTATATCGAAAAGTAGGATTCAGGGGGTTGACGAATTATTTCTGGACAGTCTGTCTCAAGAACCGCCGGAATCCATCGGCTACACTTTTCCTGTGTAACCGTAGAATATTCCCTGCTTGTTCACGTTTTAGAGCAGCTACTGACCCCGTTATGTGGTTACTTTTACGGACCACTGTACTATTGTATTCCACAAGGTCGCCGTCGGGTGGAGCATATGCTTGCAAGTTTGCCAGCTGAGGAACTCCCGGGAACGAAACAGCAGATACTTGTTCATTATTTAAAGGAGGAAAAATCAGGTTTAACTTTACATAAAGGAAGACTACCTCACAAGGTTGCTCAAAACTTCTCGACAGTCCACTACCCGTTCCGCCCTTCTTGGGGCTCATCAGGTAGGTGCAGTTCCCGAGTTCTACCTGGATCCAAATTGGACTGTTTTCGAGAAATACACTCTGTCTTGTTCACATATCCCAAGCTACTCGTGTATACTCATGACAGAATCGTACTACCTTTTCCAATAACAAGTAGATACATTAAAACAGGGGATCCGCAAATAAACCTGGTGTCTTTTGTACAAGCGTTATTTCAGTCGTACTTGTGTATGCATGGTTCATCGAAATAGCAAGTCTCTTAGACATCAGTGAAGGTCTCGGCCCGAAGAGGTTTCCGTGATTAGTGAAAGTTAGTTAAGGAAAAAGAGTGCACTCAATGTGAACTTTGTGTTTTTGGTTATTCAAGACTGTTTCCCGATCATCTGCTTATATTTGATGCACAATAGTTAGTGAACCTGACATTGCTCAGTTTTTGGCCGCCACTTGTTTTCAACGTTGAACTTCTCATTGGTCAGAACCAAACGGAAATTGCTATTGGTTAGTTCCAAACAATTCCTTCTCTTGTCTCAAGGTCTGCTGATTAGGGCACAATAGTGGCCTAATTCCGAGTAGTTAACTGGCATTTGAGTGCATTTCAGTCGCTGTACATTACCGAAATGCGCTCGAACTGTCACCCCAGTGTGTGGCTCAAAAAACTCTGCCTTGACGGAGATATTCATGTCAAAAACAGTAATGGTAGCTCCATTTGAAGACGACTGCCTTCAGATCTTGCAGGTTCGAAACTCCATGACGTCGAACGCTCACTGTCGATTATGTCGAATACTAGTTAAAACTCAAGGTACTCAGATAAGCCTCCCACACCGCCTCAGCAATTCGCTACAAGGGTACTTGAAAGTCTTCACAGTTAGCTCATCAGTTGCTCACCCAAAATGGATCGACCACATAAGTGCAAAAAGTTCGACATTCCCAACGAGGTTTCCCAGTGGGAACAGCGGTCCTATACTAGCAAACCTTTCAAGATCCCACTGAACAGAGCATTCGGAAAAATGCTTCGTAATCGTATCGTCACAAACACAGGTATGACTCACCTTCCTCTTTTCCATAAGAAGCTTCGACATACACTTCCCACGGCAAGGGATTCAGTCCTTGTTGGTTGACTTCCGACCAGCGTTTTTCTGTCACCTGCTGTTGTCCAACTTTAGCCACGTAGGCAATCCACTCCCTCATCTCTTTCTCCGTGACCCTTCCATCTGCGTCCTTATCAATTTTTCGTATGATCTCCCTGGGAAATTTGCGTCCTCTTACAAAAAAATTGTCCTAGGAACTTACTTCAACTTCTCCCTGCTTTGCTCCGGTGTGAGTTTGGAGTATTCCTTGGCAGTCTCACTGCCCAGAAAGGCGGCATGATCGAAATTCACATCATGTCGACTTGGGTCATCTGCGAAATGTTCCACCTCTTCTCTGCTCTGTCTCAGTGTGTTTGAAGAATAAAATCTCTGAGCATTACTCACCCTCGTTTCTGAATGAGGTTTTGCGAATACACCAACCAAAAGGCCCACTGCACAAACGAGCAACAGAAATCGCGACATTCTACGGCCGAGTTGGACACAGACAACTGGAAGCTGGGAAGTTGTGCTCGCCTATATGACTGTGACCAGCGCTTCTGATTGGACGACTATGTCTAGGCCACATGTACCTGATTGGTGCGTGGGTCATGATATCCGATGGACGAATCTGGTTACTGTCCAATAGGAATGCCAGATAAATCTGGACAGAAATGGAACCTAGGCCCCTGGCCAAACACGTTCACGCTGCTGGCGCAATGCCAGGATATTATTGGCTAGTAAGTATGCCACGCTGTATCAAAGGACGTGCGCATTCCCATTATCGTGGTGGCTGAATTGCTAACCTGATTACACAACGAGGTGAATTTTACGACAAGTCGGGTCACAGACAAGCTGTTATCGAAGCAGTCCAACTTGAATTCTGGCCAATCAGAAGTATCCTCCACAGTTAGGAGCAACCACCGTGTTGCAGCAAAGAATCTCAAGAAAAAAAGCTACAGGCTTTAGACTGGGACAAAAAGGACCATGGTGAAAACAGAATTGATAAACAGGACAGTGAACACTGTTGAAGCGGGGACACTTCTGTTCGTCCGTATGTGATAATCCAGGTGCGTCCAGCCTGCACTAGCAGAGTACTCGTGCGTTGCATGTCAGATGACCACAGTTCAAACCTCGACAGGGCCAAGGATACGTACTACTTAGGAGCTACAATGAAAGTGAATGTCGGATCCAGTCCTTCTCTCCTTTTAGGCGTACTATCGCGTCTGAATAAGGGAACGATAACACTGATGTGAGATGCCAGTTCTCCGAAACATCACTGAAATGCACAATCGTCCGGGTGTATCTTTCCGCTTCCGTTGAACGCAAAACAACCAAATTTTCAACGAGTGCCACACAGATCCAGTTGCCAAAGGTGAGCCTTGGATGCGGCGACAAGCAAAATATCTGGTTTGATCTGTTGCCATTTCAATGATATGAGGAGAGTTCCCTTTGAGAAGGTAAGCACTCATCAATGTTTATCAAGGTCACACGTTTGATTGATTTTTTTCTGAGGGCATGTGAATATTCAACACGCTTGTCCAATGGAGCATTATTCTCGTCTACGGATGCAGTGGATCCCAAAACATTTAACAGGGGCGTTGCAATTAGATTCAACCGGCCATCGAATTGTTCAACTGAGATCTCATCCTATCATCTGGGACAATCGAAGCTAAAAAACCTGTGAGGCACTGCAAGACGTTTGATCATTATTGAGAATCATCAGCGGTGTGCACCTCACGAAACTCAGGGGATTCTACAACTCGTGACCGGCTATTAGTTTGAACAGAAATGTTCTGACATGAGCCGCTGAACAGCAGTATGATTGACTGTCCCTTAGATAGCATACAGCGCCACTCCTTAAAATTGTCCTATAGTGACTGGTTCCCCCAGTGACAACCTCTCAAAAGGAAAATTTATTAATCTTCCGGAATCTCGAATGCAAGATTTAGGATTTTCTTACACTACTACTAGTCAATCAGTAGCTTAGAGGAAGAATAAATCTACAAAGTGCGTTTTGCTCTCATCTCAGAAGTCACCACTCGAGGAGCCGGTCAATACTTGACCATGAGATGTAGATTCCATGGTTGAAGGGTGAATGGTATCATCTCTTGCCTAAGTGTGAGTTAATCACACCATTGATCACCAGCTCATGGCCGAATAGTTAGGCGTTCAACTACTGGCTGGAAGTTCATGGGTTCAAAATTCCATGGAGCTTTGAAAAATGCACGCTAATCACGCTTCCCAACAAGGATGAAACAGCTGTACAGTGCTTCTCGGATCTTCATTTCTTTTCAGCTAGTGCGAAATTGTTGGACACCAGGAATGATCAAATGACGCGTACCTCGACTTCGACCGTTGTGCTTATCCGAGATCAGCGCCTGAAACACACGAGAAGCACAAGAATTCGTTTTGGATGACTGGGCTACACTTGCAGCACCGATTCACGTGAGCAGAAGATCATACCTTATGTAAAAAAAGGGTGGAATTGGCGCTGGATGATGGTAGAAATGTAATCTAGACAATTCATTCGGTCGTTTCCTACCAGTCTGTCATCCATTCGCAGTATCTGAACTGAAAGTGGGGCATCTCTCAAGGTTTAAATCTAAAGGCCACTTGGTCACGCTTGATTGCAGAATCACGATCGTCTGTAAACTCATGACATTTAATGTGCATTTTCCGTTTATCTAAGAAGAGGAAACCTGGGAATCGGATTTAATTATTACGAGTGGGCAAATGCTGAGCATAAAATCTTTATGCCTCGTCTCCCATTCCATTTCCAATACCTGTCCCGCAAACGCATGGTGGTTTTTCTTATTCAGACACGGAAAAGTTCAACATTCTTGCGGAGTTGATATTTTTCTTAGGAGTTGTGACTTCACCCTCCCTTGAGCAGACGACAATTTTGAGCCTTAGTTACCAACAGATACCCATAAATGTTCCCCGTTGGTGAGATAGAAATAGTGCAAACGAGAGACTCAGCTGGGTCCCAGGTGCGTTTCTTGCAAAACCAAATTTGGGCAATTTGATTGCAGAATTTCATCACCAATCGTGGTAACATCTTCAGTGCGTTGTTCGGGGGGCGTAGTGGCGCGTGGCGATG